GACAAAAATGAAGGCATGGCAGGAAATAACTAGGTTTGGGCCAATTTTTTTAATCAAAAGCACAAGAATAGGTGAGTTGAATATTGATATATTTTAATATTATAATTCTTTCCTCCACTTAAATTCTTCTTTTATAAACATAAGGAATTACATCATTATGCATAGCATATTGAAGAAAATTGGAAACATTAAATTTTTGTTTAATTATCACTGAAAAAATTAGTTATCTTATTGATTTTCAGAGTCATCAATATAGGTCTTGGGAGAAAAGATGTGAAAGTTATAAGGAAGAAGTGGTCGGATTTTTCCAGCTGCTCCAAAAAGGAGGCAGAAAGGAGGAAGATTCAAAAGACTGATGGTGGTGGGGTCTCTCAAATAATGTTGACTCCCATGCAAGAAAAGGTTAAATAATGTTAGCATTTTATAAAAAATTTAATGTATATAATCAGAACATACCTTATGTAGATCGATGGCTTTTTGTTTGAATATATGTGTGTGTGTGTGTGTGTGTGTGTGTGTGTGTGTGTGTGTTCATTTATTTATATCAAATGATTATTATAGGTACTTTTGTTTCAGGTTGTGTCAATTATTGGTGAGATTGCCATTGCTGGCTTTCAAGGAGAAATTGACACATTCCAACAACAAAATCAAAATGACAAGTATACCAAAATTACAACCGAAGAGCTCAAAATTTTAGTGGACGGGGTATCTGCTTAAAGTGACATTTTCTTTTTTCAAAATTCAGCAATGTTAATGTTATAACTAACAGACTGAAAAAGGAAATATGGGAGGCAATAACAAATAAGTAAGTTGATTAGTTACTTTGTCAATGCATTGTAATTATTGATCCTACATTATTTTTAATTTGGAATGACATTAAAATTGAGTAGTGATTACTCACTATGTGACAGAAATTAAAAGGAAAAACCTACATTGACTACCAAATTTTTTGTGTTTAATGTGAAGTTAAAGGGCTCTTGATGAATAACGGAACATACAACGGTCTCTATCTTCCTGCTTATAGCGTCAACAGTGTGTCCAAAGTTCACCGAGACAACGCAAGCGTGCGTAGGAAATGGACAGATTTATGTTCCAAGATGAAACACACAGAAAAACAATGGAGAAACAGTATGGGGAAGACAGTGAGCAGTCCCTGTCCCAAAGAACTGTCCCCTTTAGAACAAAAGGTAAGTTTTAAATATAACTGACATTAACAATTTCCTGTAATCATTATAGGTAATGAACCTCTAGTGGCCGCTGAGTACAGAAATAAATTGAATTTATTAATAAATATTTTTTACTCTTTAAAAATTATATATTTTGGTTACTCTTTCTTCTTATATAGACTTATTTAAATACCTTTTAACACTAATACCATCACTATGCATGAAGACACCGTTTCTAAAATATAAAGTAGGATGCTGAAACTAATATTCAAATCTGAAGATAAACTAAATTTTTCAGCTTGGGGGAATACGATACAGTCATGCCAGGAGAAGCAGAAGCCAGTTAACTGAGAGAGGAATTGGAAGGTACTCTATTAATATCAGTAATCTTAAGACCCATTTTTTTTACATTCACAGATCATTTTTATTACTAATATTTTAACACAAATCATTTTTTGTTAGCAAAAAAAAAAAAAAAAAACATTTTGTGTTCCTGTTTTTTTAATAAGAAGTCCTAGATAAAATACTAGTCCAACCTAGAAATGCATCAAAGAAACAAGTAAGAATTTTTTAAATATTACTTCGCCTTGCATAATGAAGAATAATTTGGAAAAAGCAAGGTACCATTTTATAAAATTTAACATAGGCCTAGACAAACTATATGGGGAGAGAAATTGTACTTTTAATACACATTGTTTATTGCATAAAGTCTCAAAAGTCAGAGATTTTTTTTTTTTACGAAAGCTTAATTGGTGACCTGAGAAAACAATTTCATGGAACCCAGCAGGTAAAATTGCAAATAGTCACAGTGGTGTGCATTCAACACAAATTACCAGAGTTAATTGAACAAGTAAAGGATGGTGCTGTGTAGGTCCTGGTGCAGCAGATGACTAAATGGCCAAGTTTGAAATTTTCAGGCAGGATAGGTTATTCCTCTCATATCCTTGGACTATGTTCTTCCTTTTTGCCTCCTACTTATTTTGCCCACAGTGCTGTTTTTGAGTATTCAAAATTTTTAAGAATTTGATCACCATAGAGGATTTGTTTTTTGCATTTGTTTTTTGTAAGTCATACAATGTAGTAAAAAAGAGAAATTGTTTTACTGCAAAGAGGGAAGAGGGTTATTGTGAGATACAATTTTTTTTATCAAATGCAGTACTATTGATGGTTGCAGATATTTTGTTGTTATGTTTTTGCTTAGTGGATCTAAACAATTTGTGTCACAATTTCTAAATTTTGAGGAGAAAGATTAGTAATTGTAGTTTTTGTTAGATTGGGGAAGGTACAGCTTTGAGTCATTAAAACAGTTACTAGTATAAACCTACACATTATCCTCCCTTCTTGTGATAGATTTGATCAAGTTTCATATCAACAGATATACAGTTTCACTAAGAGAAAAAATACCCAAAGATCGACAGTGCAGAGCTGTCACCGATTACTTTGGCAGCTTTAGTGCCAAACAGCTAGTACCTATTTTGGCAGTGTACATATTTTGGCACACATATAAATATGTCATATTGGGAGAGATTATAGGAAAGAGAAGGAGGAGGATTACAAAAAAAAAAAAAAAAAAAAAAAAAAGACAATAAGAAAATGGTGAATGTATTTTCATTTTTTAATAATAAAATGTAATGTATACATGCAATCTATTGGTGAATTATAATTTACATTTTGCAACATTATACGGCAAAGAGATTATGATCATATACAATGTTCATGTTTTTACACATTTAGCTGATCACTCGAAGTTATATGGCCCATTACAACTATTTGCAGGATTTCCATATGAAAACTACCTGCACAGTATTAAAAAGTTAATAAGAAATCCTTAATTTCCTCTTCAACAAGCCATATGGCACCTTGATGAAATGATGCACTTGGCTCCATCATTGAAAACAAAAGAAACAGTCAGCATGCAATAAAGGGTACCGGAGGAGACTGATTGTGCCCAGAAGTGACGTGTAATGGTGTTAGAAGCGAAGATGAGTGGTCATTTTAACCTGGAGGTGAACGGGAGAGAAGATGTGTAGTCAGAGGAAAAAGAGGTTAATTACTAATAATTTTAAGCTTTGTGATCAGCTTACCTGAATTCTCTTTTCTTCTTTTTTGGGAAGATCTTGTCAGTGAAATGTTTTATTATGAATGCATCACATTTTATTGTACATTTGTACCTTTTTTCTTTCTATCCTATTAGGATTTCAAGAAGTACAGTAGTGTGGAAATGTCTTGTGAAGTCGAGCAGTGCCGTTGACCAAAGACAACAAGGTCAGTTCTTAAAAATTGACAAAATTGTGAGTGAACTTAATGTTCTATAATTGTTGAATGTTTAACCTTCTAAGCTGCATTTGCAGATGACAATCAAAAGGCACACCTGAAGTGTAAAAAATTAGAGTCCAGGCTGTCAACAGACCTAGAAACAACAGACACAGAAGACAGAGGAAGAAAAGTAATTTGTATCACTATGCCGTTGATATTCTTGCAAGTGATAAGTATCTGTTCACCTCATCATAAATAACACATGCTTCTTTAAAAATGAATAGCTCTGTGCATATGTTAAATTGTCAGGAGGGCACTATAAGTATTCTGTGACAAAGCTTTGAAAAACAATATAAATTTCCTGAATGGGTTAAGTATCAGGTTAACACTTTAATGTTATTGGCAAAACAAGTTAAATACCCCTCATTTTTCTTAATGTACTGTAAATAAATTGAGTTATTTGTATTATTTAATATTTTATGGGATTGCTCATTTTAATATTTTGCTTTTAGATAAGACTGAAGAAGAGGATTATAGGGTTTTTAATGTTGAGGGCAAGGTAGGTATGAAAAGAAAAGGTAACTTCCCTTCCTTGTCACTTAAATGGAGAAAAAACCTTTCATCCAGTAGGTATGACATTTCTTCTAAAACAATATGAAGTCAAAGACATGCCTGGTTGACTAGAGATGAAATAGACTTAGACCATGGAATTTTATTACGTAGATATGTTCCCAAAGGTAGAGGGCTTTCATGGTACTTGTCCCCTAGAGTTTGTTAAAAATGGTCTTATCTTATCCATTCCCACTTCTTCATTTGTGCAAATACTTAATCTTAACTCCCATTGGCTTACTCTTTCCAACATTAATAGCAATATTCGCAATTGTGTTCAAATTCCAGACCTAGCCCCATACTGAAGGGTAAGATTGCTGAGATTGTTGCCTCATTGCTTTTTTTCCAAGGAAATTGTTTTGGAGCATAAAGACATTCAGGAGCAAACTGGTGATAGTGACAATGGTCTTTTTGCCATTGCTGTGCTTTGGAACAAGACCAGAGGACTTCATTTGGGAGCAAAGGGCGATGAGGGAACATCTCAGCAAGTGTTTTGAAATTGGTAGGCTGGAAATGTCCCCATATAGATCAGAGAACAACCACCATACAAGACCAAAATTGTCTAAATTTCCAATATATTGTCATTGTAGGCAGGTCTATGATAGAAACCAGGACTGGATTGAATGTGAAGACTGCCTGCAATGGTTCCATGTCAAGTGTGAAGGGATCCAGTCATCTGGCCTGGAGAATCTACAGCACACATTGGCAGTGTTGCAACTGCTCTTAGGGTGGTATTCTATAGAGCTGTAATTAAATCTGTCAGATAGATACATCGTACTAGTTGGGAGAGATTCTTGCTAAGTGCGATCATTGCAATTAGCTTAAATGGCTGAGTTACTGAGGAGAAGGTATGTATGTACGACAGAAACCAGGACTGGATTGAATGCACAGACTGACTGCAATCAATTAAAGTGCATCTCAAGTGTGAAAAGATCTAGTCATTCACCCTGGAGAATCTATAGCAGTCACGTTGTGTCTGTACATAAAAAATCACAGAATATTTATTTATGCCAAATTGTATTTATGGTAATCACATAAAAGTCACTTTTAGCTTTCATTAAGTATGTCATGTAACTCATACAAATAAAATACTTCACTGAAAGGAATTACTGTTTTTAGCTTTCTGAATAAAACTCAAGCGTGTTGACATCAGTCTTAATCTTTACAGCAGCAGGCAACAAGATCATAAAACCAAATATTTGTGTTCAAGAAACAATGAAAATCACAGATAAAGTAGCACCTGTCAAAAACTTGGACATTATGGAGTCATGAACAGTTAGTAAAACATAAACACCCTCCACAGATATTATCATTGCTATATTACACCATACACATTTCATACTCTCAGATTAGTAAACCTTTTGACTAGCAAATCTTTGACACAGCTGGGCATTTGCATCATCAAATATCAGAATCAGAAATTACTTGAATTTGACATACTCAGAACATACTGTGGCATCATATCCAAACTGCTAACGATAACAAAACAATATCATAAAATAATCCACTCATGCTGATTTTCTAGAGGAATTTAAAACAAAAATACAGTTTATCATCAGTTATAGGGTAAACAACAGATGTGTCACAAAGTGTTGACTATGGTAATGACACTGGACAGACACAGTGATCAGAATATAGACAGACTGAATGTGTCTGTATATAATAAATATGTGATAAAACTTGCAATTTCAACTTAATGACCTCACAATAACAGAGATCATCTATAACACATCATATATGACCTGAAATATATGTATTTGCATTAAAACATTTTCACAGAAGTCTTGTTCTCTTCAGTGATGACTTATTATCTACTACTATCTCACTGTATATACTACCTCTACTAGTACTGTAACAGTTTCCATGCATATGGGGAAAATTATTATAACACATCACAACTGAGCTGAAATATCAATTCACTTTTAAACATTTCATTGTTTATTCGTCTTCAGTGATAGAGTATTGTCCAACACAATCTCCTTGCTTTATATACCCGGCCTCTATAGTTTCCATGCATATGGGGAAAATTGATTCTTTGAGTTACCTGAAACCCACATTTGTTGTGTAATTGTATTGTTCCATATAACTGGCTCCACAGGATCTGCTGTGTTTGGAAGTCTTGTTCTGGGTGGTTCTGGCAGCACTTTCTCTCACTCAGTATAAAACTGACCTCTTGGTCTGCCAGCAGCTCTTTACACAATTCCAGAAATGTATTTGCTAAAAACATAAATGAAATGAGTATATTTGTTTGCAATGTAACTGGGTCATCTTTGTGATATAGTGCAAACTATTATTAGGAACCATCTAATGATACATTATTCATATACAGGATGCTTTTGTAAGATGCACAATATCATTTTTGTATTGAAGTGACATACTTGATATTGATATCTTGATAATGCTCACATGTAATGATGATCAAATTAAAATATAAGTATTCTTTTGTGTTTTGAGCACTCAATGACAATAAAACTTATATTTATCTGCTATCTTCAAGAAGTCCAGTCACCTGTTTACAATGGCTGTCCTGTCTCTGGCTGTTCATTCATCCTAAAACTTGTCACATCCCGTGTCTTGCACAACTGGGTGAGATGAAGATGTTCCTGTTGCTGCCTTTTTATGTCTGCTTCTTACAAAATACACGTCCCCCATGTCCAGCCAGGTAAAGTCAGTTCACCTAGAAGAAACCATGTTGTATGGAGACTGGAGCTAGAAAAAGATACCAAAGATTATACGAATGAAGTGACATATATTATCTTAATAAAAAGACAGAACTCTGACAGTCCACAAGAGCCAGCAGAATATTATACCTATAATATACTGCCAAATGTCCACCTAATATGACAGACATCACAGTTGTGGTGACTGAACAGAGAAAAATTTAAAATCTTTTGGAGGCTGCTGGGCACAAATGTGACTGGTATAACTGTCACAATCTTAAACTGATCAAAGTTAAAGAAACAGAACTCTGCCAAATCTTCTGGGATTTTTGAGAAATTTGCACACAAATTGCCTATAAACAATGGCTGTAATAATCTGGGATAAGTATATCAGTTTACTGTGCCTTGTTAAAGAACATTTTGTAAGGAATAACATTAGAAAAGTGAAAAAAAATTATATAAATTTAAAGGAAACAAAATATGATAACTGGTTTGTTGATCTACAATGGAAGGATAGAAGACAAATTATCTATTGTAACAGGACTTGTAAAACAAAACCAAGCAATAATTTTGTGCACTACCTGCAAGGAGGTGTTTTTGGCATGGTGATGGGTGACGGTGGGTAATGACCACTGCTCCACCTTGGGTCCAATACATATCATCTGTTATGACCTGGTCCCGTGGGTCTCACTCGCCATGTGCTTCTTTCACACTCGTTCCCATTACCACATCATCCACCAGGTGGTAGCCCCGGTCTAGACGCGATTAATCGGCAGCCATGTATTGGATATAACATTCCTCCCAACTTTAATTTTTTTTTCTACAACATATAAACTTAAAAATCATTATCCTTGAATATTTTGAATCCTGAAGAATTTTCAGTTTTCATATTGTATAAAGTCACATCCTGAGTGCTATATGCTCAAGCTTTTCAGGACAGCGATCCGCCTCCATCCTGATTAAATATAAATTATCTCAGATTACTTTTTTCAGGGCAGCGATCCGCCTTCATCCTGATTAAATATAAATTATCTCAGATTCCTTTTTTTCAGGACAGAGATCCGCCTTCATCCTGATTAAATATAAATTATCTCAAATTACTTTTTCTAGGACAGCGATCTGCCTTCATCCTGATTAATTATAAATTATCTCAGATTACTTTTTTCAGGGCAGCGATCCACCTCATCCTGATTAAATATAAATTATCTCAAATTACTTTTTTCGGGACTGCGATCCGCCTTCATCCTGATTACATCTAGAAATTATCTCAGATTCCTTTTTTTCTCCTCAGGGCAGCGATCCGCCTTCATCCTGATTACATCTTATCTAGAAATTATCTCAGATTCCTTTTTTCTCCTCAGGACAGCGATCCGCCTTCATCCTGATTACATATAAATGATTGAACTGTCACTTTAATACATACAGGTAATCTTTAAAGTAACTTGTCTTCTGATCGTTCTCTGTTGTCTAGTGTAATTGGTTCTGCAATATGATCACTGTTTTTCTCTTGCTGTGGCATCTTCTCATCAACTGAATTCTCTGTATTAAATGCAATATCATCTAAGTTTTGAATATTCTGTGTGTCTGTTGCTGCAATTCACATGCATCATCTTGTCTTCTCATCTCATTTGTGTTTTCTTTCAAATATGAGTCTGCTGGAATTTCCATTACATCATCTGTTGTGTTTACGACATTGTTACACAGTTTGAATTGACTTGCGTCTCTGCAGATTGTTCTTCTGTCTGTATCTCTTCTGGCAGTAACTTGAGAACCATGTATTTCCATGACGATATAGAAAATCAGTTCATATGGTGTTGAGAGTTTGTTTCTTTTGTTCTGTTTAACTAAAACATAGTCACATATGATGAGTGTATTCTCCCTCCAAGTTTGATTAGTGTTGGGTCAGTGAGGGTTTTCTCTGCCATTTCATTGAGAATCACTGCATTTTCAGATTTGACCATCCATCTGATCCTCCTCTCTGTGCTATCACCACTCGTTTGTGGCCGTGGCTGTCTGGATAGATAACCAATAGAGTCTGCATCATTCTTTCCTGGCTCATATACCACTTCATAGTCAACATCTTGTAAGTCCATCACCCATTTCTCTATTCTCGGTGGTAATTTTGCTTGTGCTTTGTTAAACCTGGGTACTAATGGTTTGTGTGCTGTGATGACCTTGACCTTTGGAGCACCCTGTAGGTATATTCTCATCCTATTCTTTGTCCATCTTATGGCCAATGCATCCTTTTCAGTTTGTGAATATTTCTTCTCTGTTTCTGTCAGTGCTCTGCTTATGAGCGAAATGGGTCCATTTCTTGGAACAAAGACACATGACACTGTACAACAACTGTCCAACTGTGTGCGTGAGCTGTAAAAAAAAGAGAAACATTCATTATAGACATTCATTATAGCCAGCAATTTCAAAAGGTTTTTTTTTCATAAAAAAGTGGACCTTTTACCATGAAACAATTGTGCACCTAAATAAAAATTTACCCAGAGGGAACCTTTTCCCGGCAAAAAGGGCAGTTTGTTTGCATGTCTAAACTGGCAGTGGTCAAACTTGGCAGCTTTCTCCTATTCACAGTTACTTGTTCTTTCAAAAATTTGCTTATATGCATCTGATGTTTTCCCATGACCATAACCAATGACATCAGCGTCACTGAAAAATGCTGGGACAGTCTTTGAAAGTATGTGCTGTGCGAAATGGAAATCTCAAAACTGATCACGTCCGGTTGCATGGATCAGGGGCGTAACAAGGCATATGCACGGATGCGTGTGTGCGTGCAATTTTTTTTGGCCAACCATGATATTATTGTCTATAAATTCAGTGTTTTTTTTTAATGGAATATAACCAAATTTCCTCTGCAAGTGAAAGTCACCTGTATGTACATATCTCTGTACCAATTGTATACGCATCATTGTTCTAACACCCCGTCTTGCATACTTTTACTGAACAGAGGTAAACAATGCCTGTTGCCTTTACAAGTACTATCTTAGGCTTCGTTCACATGCAATGTCTATTTTCTTAATTCTATTTTCTATTCGCGGTATGTCTTATGATCACGGTCTGTGCCCTGAATATCCCGCGGCGTAATTACTGGCAGCGCGAGCACAGCCAAGAATTAATTACAGCTTTGTATAAGTAACTGGCTCAAATGTGCACGGGATGATGCTAGTGATACAGCAGAGAAAGAGCCATTGTCAAAGCAGCAGAAAACTGTTCCAGATGAACCAACTGCATCTACCGGTAGCCCTGACATAGGAAACTTGGAAAGATGAGCCAGCCACTGTCAGACAGCAACAGACTTTAAGTCCTCAGTTCAAGGTTTAGACCGTCCAAAGAATGGAAAGCACCTTTAAGAGAGTAAAGTGGCTAAAGACAAGAAGTGCTTGCTGACTTATTTGATGACACACAATTCCCACACTTAAGGTATGGTTGTTTGCAGGATGGAATTTAATGTGCTCCCTGTTTTGCGCTTTCTAAAGAAAGTGCTGTTATGGTTTCAAAACCATTGACCGACTGGGGAAACGTGAGTAGGATTGTCCCACGTCATCACCAAAGCAATGGACACAGCACTGCTGTACAAAGGGCTGCAGGGTTTCTTCGCATCTGTAATGGGGTAGAAGCAAGTATCACTCAAAATCTATCCCAGGCCTATAAGGAACACGTCAAAGAAAACAGACACATTCTGAGATCCATTGCCAAAACATTGTTGTCATGCACACAACAAAACATAACAAGAAGAGGAAAAACTGACAAATGATCGAATTTTTCCATGTTTCTTCGGCTGTCAGCATCTGAAACTGTGAATCAACACATCGAGAAGGGTCCAACAAATGCTCAATATACATCACCTCTCATTCAGAATAAATTATTAGATCTGATGGCCAAACAAGTACAAGAAGGCATAATTCAAGAATGCAAAACTGCCCAGTATTTCTCCATCCTGGATGATGAAATGGCAGATGTCAGCAACACAGAGCAAGTCTCCCTTTCTCTCCGCTACGTAGATTCTACATTTCAAGTTTGTCACTTTGGTCAGCACTGAGACAACCAGCGGAGCTTTAGCAGGTCTTATAAAATCTACCATCATGGACTTGGGTCTCAACCTTGAGAATCTCGTCAGGCAAGGCTACGATGGAGCTGGGAACATGATTGGAAAGGTATGTTTTTACCATTTTTTATATAACTTGGACAAAAGAATTAGCATTTTAAAATATCTGTGCATTCAACTAGATGTGAGATATTTATTTTTTAACTTCAAAAATCAATCATTTTGTTATTCATTTATTCATTCCCTTTTTTTATTGATTTGTTAAAGGTGAAGGGTGTTCAAGCAAGGATCCAGCAGGAGTACCCCATGGCTCAGTATGTCCATTGCAAGTACCACAACCTAAACCTAGCAATCTGCCACAGTTGCAACATACACCCCATATGCAGCTTGTATACCACAGTTGGGGAGATCATTTAAATAATATTAAAGACTTTAATATATAATAAGTATAGAGGGTTGACAGCTTATGAACATCTCTCCGTCTGGATTTTATTCAATCTTTTATTTTGTTCATAAATTCGGGATGTCTCTGGGTCAAACACACTTTTGCTAGTCACAATTAAGAATACTTTACAAATTCTTCTCTTATGTTTTTTGTTGGTATTTCAGGTTTTATTCTTCATCAACACATCACATAAGATACTTGCAGTCTATCAGTCCTTCTGTATAAAGGTCTGTTTGAATTCCGTCTCTATGTTCTTTTTTTATTAATATGGCACAGCCGCACAACACTATCTTCAATGCAGGAATGGTGCAGTCCAGATGCAACATTGTAACATGTTGTTATACTTGGCTACATATACATGTTTGTATAAATTCCTAACATGCAAAGCCATTTACTTCACTCTAGCTGGAGCTCAAGGGCTATGACTAAATGGCCAGTTATAAAGATACTGGATAAAACGAAGTGAACGCTGCAAAAATCCCCTCAAGTAACTTTTATAGTAGCTCTAATTAAGACAAGTCCCTCATGAATAGAAACCCTACTTCTACTTAACTCTGCTAGCACTTTTTATGTTTTACCTCAGATATGTTTCCAGGAATCCAGATCTACTGTATAACACTTATAACACTAGGATTGCCGGATCCCTTTGTCTATCCTCTACCTCTTGCATCTGCAGCTCATTCTTTTCTCTCTCTCTCCCTCTTTCTGTCTCAAAAACCCCGCCCAACTGTCGCTTTCAATCCCAAGACTTTCGGCACCAGATCACTACAACAAAGTACTCACCCTTTTGTCATCAAGAATGTGTTTGCATGCAGTTAAAAAGATTCCAGAATCGTGGAATGTCCTAATGTTTCAGATCAAATTTTTATGGTAACTCAAAAATATATCTTGTCCTTGGAATAACGTTATTTCATAACGTGTAAAATTTCCCCGCTCTGCCTAAGCCCGACTAAGTAGGTCAAAGAAAACCCGCAGTGAATACTGGGTCGCATCTCGGTACATCCGGTCACATGAAGCGCCGCAGTTTTGCTCTGAGTCCAAGTTATTATATCTTTTGATTTTTCATTTAATGATATTATTGATTATTAATTGAGAATATATTTTCACAAAAAGGTAATTCAATTTTTTAAATTGTTATTAATTATTATTATTTTCTTTTTGCTTCAACTTTTGATGGATCTCAGCTAACAAAACGCTCAATTTGAGCAAATGGAGCATTGAAGGACCTTCACATTACCATTTTACCATTAAAAGTATAATAAACGTACTTGGAAATATTCTAAAGTCAATTTTTGCCTAAATATCCTGCAAAGCTACTAGTACCTGTATTTTACTTTTGTAGACTGCGCTAGTAGGCTTTATATTAGGCCTACATGCGCGTTCATTTTTTTTCAAAACGTCATAATTTCCCCCTCAATTCCAAGTATATTTTCTCATTGCCTGGTAACGAAGGTTTTGCAAATGACTTTTTAAGAGAATGCAACTTAGTCGTGTTTCGTGTA